GCTCACTTGTGGTCCAGTCCAGTTCTCCTGGCAACTATGCAGGAGGCAGGACCCAAGCCTTGGATGGTGTTATGGGTTGAACTGTGTCCCCCAAAAGGATGTTGAAGTCCTAACCCCCGGTGCCTATGAGTGTGGCCTTATTAGGAACCAGGGCCTTTGCAGATGGTCAAGACAAGGTCATTGAGGTGGGGTCTAATCCAATATGATTGTGTCCTTATAAAAGAAGGGAAATTTGGATGCAGAAACAGACATGCATAGAGGGAAGACTGTAAAGGGACACAGAAAGAAAATGGCCATTTACAGGCAAGAATCGCCTGGAGCCACCAGAAGCTACGAGAGAGAACTGGAACAGATCCTTCCCTAGTGCCTTCAAGGGGAGCACAGCCCTGCCAACACCTTCATCTTGGACTTCTAGCTTCCAGAACTGTTAGACAATAAATTTCTATTGTTCTAAGCCACTCAGTTCGTGGTACTTCATTACAGCAACCCTAGCAAAATTCTGGAAACAGGGATAACGGACTTATTAAGTGTAAGATGCCTTTGAAATATTCATTTATTTATTCATAAATATATTTTTGAAAGAAACAAAGATTGTGTGTGCGTGTCTGTGTCTGTGTGTGTGTAAGAAGTGGTAACATTACGGGTAATTTTTATTTTATTTTTGCTTGCCATATTTTCTTTTTTTTTTTTTTAATAATTTTATTTATTTATTTTTCCCCCAAAGCCCCAGTAGATAGTTGTATGTCATAGCTGCACATCCTTCTGTTGTTGTATGTGGGACATAGCCTCAGCATGGCCGGACAAGTGGTGCATCGGTGCACGCCCGGGATTCGAACCCCGGACCGCCAGTATCAGAGCACACGCACTTAACCGCTAAGCCACGGGGCCGGCCCCGTGCTTGCCATATTTTCTAAATATCAAATCCTAAAAAGACATGACTTTTGTAACAAATACAAAAAGGAAAGTTCTTTTAAAAATAGATATGTATGGTACTTGCAAATTTGATTCCCAAATTTTCAAGGGTCTCTTGGTAGCATCAATGCTTCTTAAATCAGAATGCCCTGAGCTCTGGGCCCATATACTCAGCTGCCAGATGGCCACGTTTATTTGAACATTCCAAAATTACCTTGAGCTCAACATGCCCAAAGCAGAACTGTTATCTTTCTCTTCAAAAACCTGCCCCTTCTTTTGCGTACATCATTTCAGATAATGGCACTTCCATTCATCCAGCCACGGGCCCTGCGTGGTTCTTGATTTTACCTCATCTTCGCCTGCCACATCAAATCAGTCAGCATGTCCAGCCGGTTCTGTCTCCCAATAGGCTCTCTTTCCCCTCCTCTCTACTGCCAGGGCTGCCATCTTCGTTCAGCCCTCACGGTCTCTCACCCAACCTCTCAGATGCTTTTCCTTCTGCCCAACTTTCCTGCCTCAGCCAATTCCCACCTCCTTCCATATGGACACTAGTTACCTGCAAAAATGGAAATCTCAGTGGGTCGTCCCTACCCACTGAGGAGAGGATGCAGATCAGTATTTCACGCACAACTTAGGTGCTCGCTCATGTCCCCGTTTCCAGGCTCATCTCCAGCAATTCCCCACAAACACATTCTGCTCCTGCTACAAAAAAACTACTCTCCGAATAAACCATATTCTTTCATGGCTCAGTGTGTTTGCATATGCTGTTTCCCCTCCAGGAAACGTCCTTCCTCTTCGCTCTGATGTTCTCAGATTCAAGACTCTAATAAAACACTCTCTGAAGCCTTATCTGAGTTCTGCTGTCACAGTAAACAATGGATAACTATACAGTTAAATCTAAGAGCATATAATTCTATTAGGTTTACAACATTTTTTTGTCATTTTTGTTCCCATGACTGTCTTTTCCAGAACAGAGCGACTTTCTGGGGAGGGAGAACCTATCATTCAACTTTGGATCACCAGAGTCTAAATCATAACTTGCTCAAATTAGGCTCAACAGATGTTTGTAGAAGGAAAGGAGGGAGGGAAGAAGCAGGCAGGCTGGGTTGAGTCTGACACAACTTAAATCTCAAGAAAGGGAAACTTCGAAAATTCAGATAAAGTGTCAAAATAATCCCAGAGAGATTATGTGAAATAATTGTAAAACAGTTGTTTTTAGCAACAGTAATCTGCCAAGAGGATTTTTTTTAAAGAGAAAGCGTGGTACAGAGGAAGAGCCGGCCTTAGGAGTCAGGAGGCTGCTCCATGACTAGCTCTCCAAATGAGCAAGGGCACGTGACCGACCACTGCAGGCATTGGTTTCCTCACTCATAGAAAGGACAGGACTGTAGAAGCAGGAACAAAAGGATTCCTATTACCCACATGCATATTTATTATTCAGTAGCCGTAATCTTACATTCTTACTCTGAGCACTGTACTAAGCTTTTTCACACAGATTCTCTAATTTAATCCTTAAAACCATGTAAAATAGGTTTTACTGTCCCCATGTTACAGATGAGGAAACTGAGGCTGATAGAGGTTAAAGAACACACCCAAGGTTACATTGCTGGTAGGTGGAAAATCTGGGACACAGACCCTTTGCAACTCTGAGCTCAGACTCATAAGCAATGCCAGCTCCAGGATCTGTGTGTGGCTTGAGGGTGGCAGATAAGTTAATGATGTGGAAAGACGGTTGGCTGGGAGACCCATCTGGAAGCTTCATTTGCATAGCAAACACACTGATTTACTTAGAAACTACTTTCTGAATGACTGCTAGAAAATGTATAATCAAATTGAGGTACCTGTCAAAGCGAGTATAAGCTTTTCTGTTAAGAATTTTTATATTACTCTCATTCCATTAATTCTCTACACTTATTTTCCATTTTTTATCCCATCTATGTCTAATTTATGCTATGTTGCTAAATTTAATGCGTGCATGTAAACTACCCTAAATCTTTTTTTAAACAAAAGAGGGCACAGGTTAATGGTAAATAATTATATGGGAAAACATTCAACTGCAATAGTAATAAAAAAAAGTTAACAAAACAATTAGATATAAGTTTTTACCTAATAAAGTTTGTTTTTTAAACTTTTTTTTAAAATGATAATGCTCAATGTTAACAAGACAGAGATTAAACTACTATACCTACGTATTGCTGGTGGTACAATGTATAAACTGGTACGATCCTTTAGAAAAGCAATTTGGCCTTATGAAACCGAGCACAAAGGGGTTAAAAAATCTTCCCTGGGCTAGAAGTTAGCAAAAACTTTGAGATAAGCTTTGCTAACTGGAGCTGTGCATATTCAGCATAATCAACTGTTGTTTAAAACTAACCAGGTCGGGCGGCCCCATGGCTTAGCGGTTAAGTGCGCGCTCCGCTACTGGCGGCCCGGGTTCGGATCCCGGGCGCGCACAGACGCACCACTTCTCCGGCCATGCTGAGGCCACGTCCCACATACAGCAACTAGAAGGATGGTCAACTATGACACACAACTATCTACTGGGGCTTTGGGGGAGAAAAAAGGAGGAGGATTGGCAATAGATGTTAGCTCAGAGCCAGTCTTCCTCAGCAAAAAGAGGAGGATTAGCATGGATGTTAGCTCAGGGCTGATCTTCCTCACAAAAAAATAAATAAATAAAACTAACCAGGTCTTTCTGTCCCTCTCTAGTATATGAGTGAGCTGTCTGTCCCAGGAAGTCAAGGTCCAGACATCAAGATTCAGCCTCACAAGGCCAAACGCAGGCTGAAGATGAAAACTTTCCCAGAAAATTCCAGACAGTCAAGGGAAAGAAATTCAGTCTTCAAGGTCAAATGCAGGCTGGTGGGAAGGTGCCAGCCAGCACATCCACGTGCTCCCCCTCCCTAATCTAAAACCCCAACACATGGTCTCCCTCACAACCTTTAAAACCCCTTGCCTCCCATCTTTCAGAGAGACGGGACAAATTTGAGAGCTCTCGTCTCCCGGCTGATGTCACTTGAAATAAAAACTCTTTCCTTGCCATAAGCCTGGTGTTCTAGTTTTATTTGGCCCCTCTTGTGTGGTGGGTAAAGAACCTGGGTATGTATCCAGTAACACTTATGTAAACAAAACAACAAATATATTCAAACCGTTTAAGCTCAGAAATCTCTCTGAGCGTTATCTGTAACACCTTCTTCCAAACACAGGAATATTAAAATCTAAAATATGAGAAAAATTATATGCAGAAATATATTCATTATAATATTATTTATAATGGTAAAAATATCAGAAGTAAACTAAATGTCCAATAGGAGAACAGCTAAGTGAACCAGGGCACACTCCCTAAGGGAGATGTTTCACTGTGTAATGTTTATACTCTGATTTTTGAATCTCACGGAATATCTAGTCAAGAATTAAATTAATTAATTTTTAAAAAGAAAATAATTGTATAGTATACTTAAAACTACTTAAACAATATGTATAGATTTAAAAATGGGAAGGAAATACTCCACAATGTTTTTAGAAATATGATTCTGTGACTTTATTACAGTTTATACTTTCCAATTTGGAGTAATGTGACTATGATATTTATAATCTTTTAAACTATTTAAAATACTAGTTTAAAAATTTATTAGGGAAAAATTCATAGGTATGCAATAAGTGACACTTAAGGTCATAAATCTAAAATTTTCTGATTCTGTGAATAATTCTAGGGTGGAAAAAAGGGAGGGAAGGCATTGAAGAAATGAATGTAGCTGCATAGAAAAATCCAGTGAGTTTCTATGAAAAATAATAAAGGTAATGTTTAGAAAAAGAGATCCCTAACCAAGCATAAGTGTACGGTATTAAACTGAACAAGGTAAAAATTTTAATATCCCTTTAAACATACTCAAATTAGTGTCACCTTAATAACAATTCAGTAACATAATGGTAAAATGTTGTTTACGCTGCTAAAAGTAAAAACTTTGGATGGAAATAAAGAATTATTATCAGAAAAGGAACTCCACAGTTTTAGTGTATTTAATTTTCATAACATTCTCATAAAGTATGATATTCTATTCTGAGAGTAATATAAATTGAATGCTCACCTCCCTTCAGAGCTCTGCAAAAAGAATAATCATCATCAGATCCTCGGCAAACAACCTCTTTGCGCAGTGGAAGATCCACAGAGTTCACAGATAGATAGAGGTTGAAATGTAATTTTTTAATATCTCTTCCTTAAAAAGAAAAAAAAAATCCCATCAGCCCCTCAAATAGGAGATTCTTTTATAAATAATAATTAACATTTACTGTATACTTAAAATATGCCATGTGCTTTTCCTACGTTATTTCATTTAATCATTACAACTACTTATAACATGGGTATTGTAATCCTTGTTTTGCAGGTGAGAAAACTGAAGTTCTGAGAGGGTGTCTAGTAGACTGTAAGCAAATAGAATGTTCCACAGTAAGAATTATGGGTGGTATGTCTAAAAATAGAGGAACCTATTTTTTTGAGAAAACTATCAAATGAAGATATAAAAATTTCGGTTCTACTTACACTTCTGCTAGGAAGTTCCAAAGAAAGGAAAAGGAAAGGAAAGGAAGCGAGGATAATCAACTCATGCCTACTTTTTTGGAGGTTTGGTGAAAGATTTCTTGGAGAACAAAATTGAATTTTGATTAAAAATTGTATGTATGAGCTGTTTATTATTTCCTCATCATCTCTCTATTACAAATTAATATGGAAAATTCCAGTAAATAATGTATTTTGCTCAACCCTTCTAAGTTATTTAGTTGGCCCAACTGGAAAAGATATATAATCTTTTTTATAATGAAAACAATTATTATAATTCATTGAAAATATTCCCCTAATAATGTCACCGTGACTCATTGTAGCCACAATCAAGGGAAAATTTTTCCATCTTTAACTGGAACTCGGCTATGCTTTGCAGAACTGCCAGCTCCTTCCTCAAAACTACTCCCCTTCCTTTGGCGTTGGTGCTACCACTCTCTTCTGGTTGTCCTACAACCTCTCTGACTCCTTCTCCTCAGTCTAGCTCATTGACTCCTCTTTCTAAGGGTTCTAGCCTCAGTTCTCCTCGATTTTAACTCTGCACACTCTCCATGGCTTTAAGTACCACATAGGGTTATAATTCCCAAATCATCATCATTAGTCTCAACTTTTCTCCTGAGCACTTTTCCCCATATGCATTCAATAGCTCTACTCAAATGTTGCTCACTACCTTAGCCAAAAGATCCAAAATTGATTTCCTCATCTTCATCACTAAATCAGCACTTAGAATTCCCAATCCCACTTAATCTTACTAGCCTCCTTTTTATCCCCATTACCACTGTCTTAATGCAGACCCTCACTACTGTGAGGCTAAAGTAGCACCAAACTTCCTAATTTATCTCCATTTCTCTACTTTTAGGGTAAAGTGTGGAGAAGAAGAACATCATAGGGTCTGTTTCAAACAGTGGTCCCATGGCCCACTCTATGGACTTGGGTCTGATCCTCTCAAAAAGCAGGGATGTATGTAGAAGTTGAAGAGTTGTTTTCACAACGAATTCCTTGAGACACGGGCACACGGCAGTACTGCTGTGGTGTCCAATAACAGTGCAGGACAAGGGATCTTCTTCCATTTCTGCATGGAACACAGCGTGATTCCAGTTTTCAGTCACTCCAAGAAAGGCAATGCCGTTTTGACATCCCAACAGTCTACATCTTGAGAAGCTTCTTGTCCTTGGACCTCACTGTGGTCGTGTTAGGCACATCACCACTTGTGTGGCTCAGCAGGCTGGGGATATCAATGTAGGTTTTGGAATGAGAGACAAGAAACTTGGTGGCTGTCATGTGGAAACAAAGAAGACTGTCTTTTTTTATTGTTGGTGGTGGTGAGTTTTGTTTTGTTTTGTTTTTTGGTGAGGAAGATTGGCCCTGAGCTAACATCTATGCTAATCTTCCTCTATTTTGTATGTGGGACACCGCCTCAGCATGGCTTAATGAGCGGTGTGTAGGTCTGCACCTGGGATCCAAACTTGCAAACCCCAGGCCCCCGAAGCGGAGTGCAGAAACTCAACCACTACGCCACCCAGTCGGTCCCAAAGAAGACTGTTTTTGAGCTTACTTAAGACAACTCCAGGAGCTTTCAGAAATAACTTTGAGGGAGGCTTATGGTCCAGCTTTACTTATTTGTCAATCAGTTAATAATATACAAATAATTTACTAGAAAGACTATAAAGTCTCAAAATATATAATTTCCATTCCCTATCTATTTTTTTTTTTTAAAGATTTTATTTATTTATTTTTCCCCTCAAAGCCCCAGTAGATAGTTGTATGTCATAGCTGCACATCCTTCTAGTTGCTGTATGTGGGACTCGGCCTCAGGATGGACGGAGAAGTGGTGCCTCGGTGCGCGCCCAGGATCCGAACCCGGGCCACCAGCATCGGAGCGCGCGCACTTAACCACCAAGCCACGGGGCCGGCCCCCCCAATCTATTTTGATTCAAGGTTGTGCTTATAGTTCTCACTGAATTTAAATAGAGATAGGGCCATAAAAATAAGGTTGATGTCTATGAATGTGACCCCACACTTTATACAGACTTTCTAGTATATTCTAGGGAAACTCAGGTCATAATTGAGAAGCACTATAAAAAATATGACTGAATAATTCTTTTGTTACTGAATTAATATTATAGTATATAAATGTCATATTTAGCGAATGATTAAGGTATTTGCGGTGGCCACAGAGGTATGCTACTCAAACCTTCCTTCCAAAGAACTGGCTGGGAGGAGGGAAGTTGGCAGACAGCCTCCAACTGCTGCACCTTTAGACCCATCTCAGCACCCACCCAGGGTCCAAACTCTCACAGCCTGCTCCTTTAATGACAGAGCACGTCAAGGACAGAGCCAGCCTACTCCTTTCTGCCATAGGACACTTGTGATTCCAAGGTCCCCCATTGACCTGGCTGAGAGTGTCTCAGGGATGCATTCTGTCTGGATGACCATCCTACCACCTTCTTCTTATTTCCCGCTCCTATTTCAAAGGTATCAGACCTGCACCTAAATCTGAATTCTCTCCTTGCCTACTCTGGCTTTCTCTTCCCTTTATTGTTCACAAGCATTTCCCCCAGTAAATCCCTTGTGTGTCTAATTCCTTCTTGGTATCTACTTTTCAGAGAACCTTAAGTGATACTGTATTGTATTATTATTACTTGGGCCAAGAAAGATACCACCTGCTCCCTGTGTGTAAGGGCAAGGGGTTCACTTGAAAATGAGACCATTTGTTATATAAATAATCACCTCTGCCAAACATCTGGGGGTAAAGCACACCACATAGACCAGAAAACAAAAACTAAGGAAAGAGGAAGAAATTGTAGAGCCTTAGCCAGGCAAAAATTTAGATTATTTCTTTCACCCTCGGCCAAGAAAGTGGAGCAAACAAGGTCAACTATATTTTTTTCTTTTTTTGTTTTTTTTTTTGGTGAGAAAGATTAGCCCTGAGCTAACATCTGTTGCCAGTCCTCCTCTTTTTGCTGAGGAAAATTGGGCCCGGGCTAACGTCCATGCTCATCTTCCTATACTTTATATGTGGGACGCCTACTACAGCATGGCGTGATAAGTGGTACATAGGTTCACGCCCAGGATCCAAACCTGCGAACCCCAGGCCACAGAAGCAGAGCATGCGAACTTAACCACTATGCCACCAGGCCGGCCCCCAAAGTCAACTATTCTCTCCTCTCTGCTACCTCTAAGCCTTACTGCTATCATTTCACTTATCATACCATATTATCTACATGTCTGTCCCTCCTATTGCACTGGGAGATTCTTGAAGGTCAAGAGAATGTCTTATTTATCAATGAATTCACAGTACCTAGCACAATACTTGAAATTATACTATGCATTTACCAAATATTTTTTAATGAATAAGTGAATACAAAAACAAAGTGTCAAAATACAGGTTGAACAATGAGATTCAGGAAAATTAAAACATGAGTTTATTGTCTGTTATATCTGGGTTCTCAGCTACCTTTTTTCTTATAAGCTGGAGAACTAAAATCTGGGGGAAAATGTTTCTTTAAGCTTATTTATGTGAAAGCACTTTGTAAAGTATAAGCTCCAAATATAAACTAGGGTGTAAATGATGATGATGATGATGATGAAAACAATAATGATCATGATGATGGTTAGAATTGGAGTTTCCTGGGATCCTAGGGCTTACAGGCAACAAACCTGATGGGTAGGAGAGGATGAAAGTTTTGTGTGTTTTCACAGACACTCAGATCCAGCCCAATGCTATCACCATCATGCAATTTAGTTTTTATTAAATTGTTGACAAGTAAAATCATAAAGAGGAAAAACAAAACACAACCCCCAAAAAAACAAAAACAATTGCATTCTTTTATCTCATCATCATCATATTTTTTTTCTAGAAAGGTCATCTTTAGAAAAAAATTCCTGGCTTGCTCATACATAGATCTTTGACTAGTGGAAAGCCAGTTTTGCTCATAGCTGAATACTAATGGTTGACAAAGGATATACCTATTAGATTGTTACAAGTCCCAAGTTATTACCATTTTCACCCCCATGCCATTATGTAATCCCCTCCCTGTCAGTGGGACCTAGTCTAGGGACTTTCTTCTAACAAATAGAATACAGCAAAGATGGTAGAGTGACGCTTCCATGATTAGGCTACATAAGGTTGTGACTTTTATCTTGTCAGCTGACTATCCCCCTTGCTGGCTTTGATGAAGCAAGAAGTCATGTTGAAAAGGCTCACATGGCAAGGAACTGAGGGCTGGCCAACAGCCAGACAGGAACTGAATACTGTCAACTACCACCTGAGCTTAGAAGTGAATCCTTCCCTAGTTGAGCCTTCAGAAGAGACCCCAGTCCTGGCTGAATCAATCAAAGGGGATTGATTGCAACCTCGTGGGAGATCGTGAAGCAGATACAGCTAAACCATACTGAGACTACTGATAGACAAAGACCCTGAGATAACAAATGTGTACTGTTTTAAGCCACCAAGATTGTGGTAATTTGTTACATAGCAATAGAAAACTAACACATGTATATGTGGAACACAATCATTTATCATTGATATGTCTTGAGCCCTTTTAATTGACCTACAAAAACAAAACTTTGGACTTACTTGGAGTGAAGAAAATATGCAAATTTCCACTGGTTCCCTTCAATTCTATGCAGGGGTTAGGAGTTATTGAAATCGGGAACTTCGTGTTATCTAAATGGAATAAAGATAATGGCAATAAATTATTACAAATCATTTCCAATAAGTAGACTATTTTGTATATCAGCCCCCAAAACATGCCTTTAGGGGCCGGACCGGTGACGAAGCGGTCAAGTTTGTGCGCTCTGCTTCTGCGACCCCGGGGTTCACAGGTTCAGATCCCAGGCGCGAACCAACGCACTGCTTGTCAAGCCATGCTGCGGCAGCGTCCCATATAAAGTAGAGGAATATGGGCATGGATGTTAGCCCAGGGCCAATGTTCTTCAGAAAAAAGAGAAGGATTGGCAACGGATGTTAGCTCAGGGCTAATCTTCCTCACACACACACAAAAAAAGGCGCCTTTAGCATTAAAATTGTATAATGAGAAAATTTGAGGGTAGTTAAAAATGTCTCCCTCCCCAGAGGAGTGACATCAGAGTAGGAAGTCCAAGGACCTCCATCCCCCCACAAACACACCAATTCAGCAACAATTCACAGACAAATTCCCTTTGTGAAAAATCAGAAGCTAATTTAAAGTTTCCTGCATCCCAGGAGAATACAAAGCCAAACTCACCAAAGCTGGTGGGGAGATTTGGGATACCCTCTCACCGGAGACCTGCCCCTGGCACAGCATAATCAGGAAGAGATCTCCTAGCCCCCAGCTTTACACAGAAGGGAAGAGGTTGGTTCATGCATCCAGAGCCCCAAATTTTCCAAGGGGGATCCCCAGAGGACTGAAGAAATAGAAAGTCTGAATAGACCTATAACTAGTATGGATATTGAATCAGTAATCAAAAATTTCCCAACAGGGGTTGGCCCAGTAGCACAGCAGTTAAGCTCATGTGCTCCACTTCAGCGGCCTGGGGTTCGCTGGTTCCGATGCTGGGTACAGACATACGCTCCACTCATCAAGCCATGCTGAGGCAGCGTCCCACATAGAGCAACTAGAAGGATGTACAACTGTGACATACAACTATCTACTGGAGCTTTGGGGAGAAAACAAAAAAAAGGAGGAAGATTGGCAACAGATGTTAGCTCAGGGCCAATCTTCCTCTAAAAAAGAAATTTCCCAACAAAGGAAAGCCCAGGACCAGATGGCTTCACAAGTAAATTCTACCCAACATTTAAATAGGAACAACACCAATCCTCCTTAAACTCTTCCAAAAAATTGAAGAGGAGGGAACACTCTCAAACACATTTTTAGAGGCCAATATCACCTTGATACCAAAACTAGACAAAGACACCACAAGAAAAGAAAACTACATGCCAATATCCCTGATGAATATAGATGCAAAAATCCTCAACCAAATACTAGCAAAGTGAATTCAACAACACATTAAAAGGTTCATACACTTGGTTCATACCAAGTGAGATTTATCTCTCAGATGCAAGGATGGTTCAACATACAAAAATCAATTAATGTGATATACCACATTAATAGAATAAAGAATAAAAATCATATGATCCTCTCAATAGATGCAGAAAAAGCGTTTGACAAAATTCAACAACCTTTCGTATAATATCTCAACAAACTAGGGTTAGAGGAAATGGCCTCAATACAATAAAGGCCATATATGAACAGCCCATATCTGACATCATACTCAGTGGTAAAAAACTGAAAGTTGGTCCTCTAAGATCAGGAACAAGGCAAGGATAATCACTTTCATCATAGTAGCAAAATGAAGAGGAAGAAGTAAAATTCTTCCTGTTTGCAGATGACATGATTTTATGTATAGAAAATCCTAAAGACTCCAAAAAAAACCTGTTAGAACTAATGAACAAATTTGGTAAAGTTGCAGCATAGAAAATCAACATACAAAAATCAGTTGTATTTCTATGCATTAACAATGAACTATTTGAAAAGGAAATTAGGAAAACAATCCCATTTATAATAGTACTGAAAAGAATAAAATACCTAGGATTAAACTTCACTAAGGAGGTGAAAGACTTGTATATTGAAAACTACAAAACATTGACGAAGGAAATTAAACAAGACACAAACAAATAGGAAGACATTCTGTGTTCACTGATTGGAAGACTTAATATTGTTAAAATGTCCACATTAGCCAAAGCAATCTACAAATTCAAAGCATTCCCCATCAAAATCTCAATAGCATTTTTTATAGATATAGAAAAAACAACTCTAAAATTCATATGGAACTACAAATAGCCAAACCAATCATGAGATCCAAATCTGGAGGCATCACACTTCCTGATTTCAAAGTATATTATAAAGCTACAGTAATCAAAACAGTATGGTACTGGCATAAAGACAGACATACAAACCAATGGAACTAAACAGAGAGCCCAGAAATAAATCCATGCATATAGTGTCAACTGATCTTTGACAGGGAGCCAAGAATGCACAATGGGGAAAAGATAGTCTCTTCAACAAATGGTGCTGGGAAAACTAGAGGTCCACAAGCAAAATAATGACATTGGACCATTATCTTACACCATACGCAAAAATCAACTCAAAATGGATTAAAGACTTAAACATAAGATTTAAAACTGTAAAAATCCTTGAAGAAAACATAGGGTAAAAACTTCATGACATTGGTCTTAACAATGATTTCATGAATATGACACCAAAAGCACAGGCAGCAAAAACACAAATAAACAAGTGGGACGACCTCAAACTAAACAGCTTCTGCAGAGCAAAGGAAACAATCAACAGAGTGAAAAGGCATCCTATGGAATGGGAGATGATATTTGCAAACCATATATCTGATAAGGGGTTAATCTCCAAAATATATAAGAATTCCAACAATTCAATTGTAAAAACGCTAGTAACCTGTTTTAAAAATGGACTAAGGATTTGAATAGACATTTCTCCAAAGAAGACATGCAAATGGCCAAAAGGTACATGAAAAAATGCTCAATGTCACTAAGCATAAGGGAAATGCAAATCAAAATCACACTGAGATATCACCTGACACCTGTCAGGACGGTATTATCAACAACAAAAAAAAAGACTACAAGTGTTGGTAAGGATGTGGAGAAATTGGAACACTTGTACACTGTAGGTGGGAATACAAAATGGTGCTGCCTCTATGGAAAACAGAATGGACATTCCTCAAAAAATTAAAAATAGAACTAGCATATGATCCAGCAATCACACTGCTGGGTATTTATCCAAGAGAATTAAATTCAAGATCTCGGAGAGATATTAGCACTCCCATATTCATAGCAGCACTATTCACAATAGCCAAGATGTTGAAACAACCTAAATGTCCATCGACAGAGGAATTGATAAAGAAAATGTGGTATAGATATACAATGGAATACTATTCAGCCTTTCAAAAAGATGGAAATTTTGCCATATACTAAAACATGGATGAACCTTGAAGACGTTATGATAAGGGAAATAAGCCAGTCATATAAGAAGGACAAATACTGCATGATTCCACTTATATGAGGTATCTGAAATAGTCAAATTCATAGAATCAAAGAGTGGAATGGTGGTTTCCAGGGGCTGGGGGGAGGGGAAAATAGGGAATTACTAATCAATGGGCACAAAGTTTCAGTCAAGCAAGATGAATAAGCTCTAGAGATCTGCTGCACAAAGTTGTACCTATAGTCAACACTACTGTATTGTACACTTAAAAATTTAAGAGGGTAAATCTCATGTAAACTGTTCTTACTACAGTAAAATAAAAAACACTGTACAAATACAAAAAAGAAATCTCCCCATAATGTAAACAGATTAGTGTTTTAATGCCCTTACACTGTTAAGGTGGAGGTTGACGGTATTAAATCACTTTAAACTGTTGGGGGTGGGGAAATTCCCCAACACATATTTTCATAAAATTACTTGTTCCATTTTGGGACTTTTTAACTTGTTCTTTTCTATGTTTCTCCTTTTTTCTCCACTGTCCTCTCCTTTTTTGTATGTTCCATTGGTTCAAAATAGAAAATACACATCAAGTACTTAGAGATCTAGTAAATATTAAGTGAGTGAATAAATGAATGAATGAGTTAATGAACTAATCCTCCTAAAGAGGGAGTTTCAAGAAGGGTGTAGATGAAGAGCTCATAAAAACACTAAGGAGGAGGGGAGAGAGACTATACCGGATTTGTTTAGATTTGCCCCTGAATGTAACCCTTAAAATTAATGTTAACATCTCTCATTCAATGAATTGAGTTTACCTGCAATAAAATTCTCATAGAATGAGCTATATTAAGTCATTTCACCTGATCACGGATATTCACAAACATTTGACCAAAAGATGTTCATCCCTGCATGGTTTATGACCAAAGAAAAAAAATGTCCAACTTGCAACAACATGGATGGACCTTGAGGGCATTGTGCTAAGTGAAATAAGTTAGACAGAGAAAGACAAATACTGTATGATCTCACTGATATGTGAAATAAAAAAAAAAAAAAAAACTGAACTCATAGATACAGAGAACAGATTGGTGGTTTCCAGAGGCAGGGGTTGGGCAGTGGGCGAAATGGACCAAGGGCGTCAAAAGGCACAAACTACCAGTCAAAAAATAAATAAGCCCTGGGGATGTAATGTTCAGCATGGTGACTACAGTTAATAACACTGTATTGTATATTTGAAAGGGTATATAAGAGGGTAGATCTTAAAAGTTCTCATTACAAGGAAAAAAAATTGTAAATATGTGTGGTGATGCATGCTAACTAGACTTATTGTTGTGATCATTTTGCAATATATACATATATTAAATCATTATGTTGTAGACCTGAAACTAATGTAACGTTATATGTCAATTATATGCCAATTTAAAAAAATGTCCAGAGGTGATGGAATAAATAAATATTGTACATCTATTTATTGAATTAATATGCAGTCATTAAAATATATTTTTAGAGTATTTAATGAATAGATGTTTATGGTATATAGTATATGATGGGCTGGCCCCCATCATAACACTTTATTTTACCTCTTTAATGGCATTTCCATTACATAAATATGCAGTTTCTTCTGACAGAATTGCCCTTGTCTTCACCAGTCTAGAAACTCCTTCTCTTCTTTCAAAATGTGCTCAGATATCATCAACTCTGTTAAGTCTTCCTTGACTCCTCCAAACCGCCTACTCGCATAGCCAGACACTATCACTCATAGTACTTGATCATCCCTCCACAGGCATTTATAAATCTTTATTACAATTATTCCCTTACATGTCTGTCTTCATAAAAATAGCACAAGTCTTGAGGAGGAAGCCTGTCTCATTCATTTTTCATGTCCCTGGCACTAGTGCAGTGCCGGGCACATGGTAGATAATAAATCTGTGTTCATTCACTTTCGCTTGGCACTTGCTATGTGTCAAACATTGCTCTGGGCCCTAGAGAAACAACAGTGAACAAGACAGTCAGAGGCCTTGCTCTTAGGAAACGTACATTCTAGTAAGAAAATCAAACAGGGTCATGGGATAAAGAGGGAGCGCGTGGTAGGAATGGAGGGGTAGGGGAGGAGGTGGTGGTGGTACCTCAGCTACGTTATTCAGTTAGTGAGTGACAAGAAGGGACCAGCCCTGTGGACACTGGAGAAACAACATCTTAATTAGAGGGATTCCTAGTAAGTGCAGACTAAGAGGGGAGAATGACTTTGATATGTTCAAGCAACAACAAACACACACTCACACACACACAGGCCATTATATGAGGTACCTAGAATAGGCAAATTCACAAAGACAGAAAGTAGAGTAGAAGTTACCGGAGATTTAGAGGAGGGAGAAATGGGGAGCTACTGTTTAACGGGTACAGAGTTTCTGTATGGCATGATGAAAAGTTCTGGAAATGGATAGTGGTGATGGTTGCACAGAATTGTGAATGTACTTAATGCCATTGAATTGTAAACCTAAAAATGGTTAAAAGAGTAAGTTTTATGTTTGTTATGTTGGTAATACAAGCAACAACAACAATAATAATAAAGGCCAGTGTGAATGGAAAATAATGAGGGAGGACGGGAATCATAAGGATCAGACAAGCAGGCAGGGACCATCTTGAGGGGTCTTGGAGCCCTTGGTATGAAGGCAGGATTTCACTGTAACTGTAGTGAAAAGCCACTGGAGGCTTCTAAGTAGGAGGAGTAACATTATCTAACCTATTTGTATTTTTAAAAGATCTCTCCAGCCTCTGTGCTGAGAACAGATTGTATGGGGGCAAGAATTGAAGTGGAGACAAGACAACTGAAGAGGTTGTTGCAGGGGCCAGAAGGGAGATGAGGGCAGCATGAGTGATAAGCAGAGGACAGTGAAGTAGTTGGCTTTATACTATATTCTGGATATAATAAAAACAGGAATCACAGAGAAATTGAACGTGGGAGACAAAGAAAAGAGATAATTAAGGATACCCCCAGCCTGGGGGCTAAGGGATTAGGTGGATGATGAGACAGGGAAGATTTAGGAAGAAACAGTTTTGGAAAGGTGTACGTCAAGAGTTCTAGCGGCAAATGGCTATTAAACTTCCCAGTGGCCACGTTAAGTTTGTAGAATAAATGAAGGAATCCTAGTGATATGTATAGTTATCCCTTCTGCCACACAAAAAGCCAGAAGTTTCTTGAGGATACCGGCTATATCTTATATAACCTTTGCATGCTCAGTATTCCGTAGCATAATAACTAAACCATATGCTTATTAAATAAAGACTTGTTAAATGGAATTAAATTCAACTGACTCAATTAGACTAAGTGGGGCAGGTAGGACTTTTGATGGCCCTCAAAAGGTTTGCATGAAACAGAAATATGGGCAAGAATAATTTGGGTTAGAGAATAGGAGAAGTACAACTAACAGCCAGTAAAGGGGTCTGCCTGCTTGGGGTAGGGGGACACACCAGATGCCAAGATACACCCGTCCAGCTGGAAGGATCATGCCATGACCACACATCCAATCAGTCAGCAAGTCCTGTCGGCTCCATCTTCAGAATACTTCCAGAATCTGCCCCCTTCTCTTCACCTCCATCACTACCGCTCTGGTCCAAGTCACCGTTCTCTCTCTCACCTGGATTATTGCAACAGCCTTGCTTCCACCCTTGCTCCCTTACAGGTTATTATCAACACAGGAGCCAGACCACGCTTTGCTCAGAGTAAAAGATAAGTCGTCCCCTGACCTACAAGGCCCTCACCTCCTCCCCATTTCCTTCTGTTACCTCGTCTTCTACTGCTTTCCCTCTCACTTACTCCTTCACAGCCACACTGGCCTCCTTGCTATCCCTCCAACACACCAGACACGTTCCCACCTCAGAGCCTTTGCACTTGCTCTTTCCTCCACCCCTTCCCCTAGACATCTGCATGGCTCACTCCCTCCACTATTCTAGGTGCTTGCTAAATGTCACCTTCTCAGTGAGGCCTTCCTTGGTCATCCTAATTTATAATGCAACCCCTTTCCCAATCTCTGCCCTCTCTCTTCCCTCCCCTGCTTTATTTTTCTCTCTCACCAATTACCACCATCTGATATGCTGAATATTTTACTGATGGAAACTCCATGAGGGCAGGTACTTTTGTCTCTGTTGCTCACTGCTATATAATACGCTCAGTGTCTAGAACAGGAACATGCCAGATGGTCAGTGAATCCTGGTTTAATCATAATCCATTAATTCCTTGGGTTTCTGGACTATTTGTAGCAAAAAAAAAAAAAAAGGTTAGAACTGAATCTGACCACTCTAGGTTACAGGAGGGTGTGTGTCTAGAGCTCACACACCCACGTTTTCCGCCTTTTCCAAAGTTAGGCAATAAAACAGCCAATTCTTGCCATTTCTGTATGTTATGGGCTGAATTGCGTCCCCGCTAAATTTACATGATGATGTGCTAACCCGCAGTCCCTCAGAATGTGATTGTATTTGGAGACAGAGCTTTTAAAGAGGAGATTAAGTTAAAGAGAGGCCAGTCAGGTGGGCCCTGATCCAATATGATTGGTGTCCTTAGAAGAAGGGGAGATTTAGACACACAGAGAGTCCCGAGGGATGAGCACACACTGAGAAAAGGCCATATGAAGACACAGCAAGAAAGCAGCCATCTGCAAGCCCAGGAGAGAGGCCTCAGAGGGAAACCTAACCTGCTGACCCTGGATCTTGGACTTCCAGCCTCCAGAGCTATGAGAAATAAGTTTCTGTTGCTTAAGCCCGCCAGTCTGCGGTGTTTTGTTACGGCAGCCCATGTGATACACTGTACATGCCCAGTAGCATGGCCAAATGGAAATCATCCTCCCAGAAATGACTGAATCAGGGCTTGTTGTTGTCACCAACATCCTCACAATATACTTGGAGGGACTAGTGCTTCCCACACAGCATGCATTTTCTGCTCAGCCAGGATGCGTGCTCTAAGGTGGGGAAGGGAGGGACATGGTAGTGGAGATGGTGGCTAGCAGAGTCTTGCTGGAGCTGTGTATTCTGCTTCCTCCCCACAGTTCCTACATCTATCCGTGGGGTGGCAGGAAAGGACCCCATTTCTCAGCATTAGAGAGAAACAGGTAAGATCCTCCCTCAAAAATCAAATCAAAAGACAAATCGAATTATTGTTCCTAAAAGATTAAAAGCAAAGTAATAATATGAAGTGTTATATAAATAAAGACCATACGGCACATAGTACAGAGAAGGGGGCATAATCAATATGTGGTACGGAGGGGCCAAAGCAGAGGAGAGAAGTAGAGGCCGCAGGTGCAGAGCCTTCCGGAAGGGGGGAATGTACACTGATCCTGCAGGGTGCAGAAACCTCAGAGAGAAGTTGAGGGGGAAGTCAGCACAAGCCACAAATAGGAAAAAAGCCACAAGTGTGAGATTGGTCACACCCCAAGGTCTTGTTCTCACACTCTGCAATTACTTTAATTCCCCGAAAGATACTTTATATCAGCGTTTTCCTGAGAGTGTTTCTCAGGACAGTCAACACACTCAAAAAATAAAGTAAAATAAAATTGAAAATCTAGGGATTAAATAGGTTTCTTCATTGCAGAATTTTTCAAAATTCAAAATACATTTGTAAATCTTCCTCAAATGGTTAGACCATAGATGCTTTTTCCCAAGAGAATCTCAAAGACCTAGCATTTTGGGAAGCACCCCTTTAAACCGAACTGATGTTGCTAGTGGGTAGAAAAGGGCAGCCAATCCATGGTGAGCAACGCAGTGGGAAGTACCAAACCAAAACAGAGGTCAAACCCTGAAACCATGCTTTCAGACCAGCAGACGTTTGTAGAGAAAGAGGGAGAAAAAACAAAACACAGTGATACAACCAGCTAATAACATTAGGAATGGCTGATTTAAAAAAAACAATCAAAATTATTGTTTCTATGTGACTCCTCACATAGAAAACTTGACCTCACAGCAATGCTTGTAAAATGGGCTCTAAAATCACTTTCATTTTACAGATAAAAGAGCTGGGATGCAGAGAGGCTAAGTACTTTGCTCCAGGTCACACAGCTAGTAACTGACAGAACCAGGCTTACATCTAATGAGGGAGGTGATTCCAGGAGCTCTCGAAATTCACAGCCTGAAACAATTACAGAGAACCTGTCACAGGCCCGGCACTGTGCTGAAAAAAGAACCACAGTGTGGAGCAATAATCGATTCCAGGAAGCAGCTAGCACTGTTCTGTCTTCTCAAGAAGAACCAGTAAGTCTTGGGGCTGAGACAAAATCTCAGAAGCAGACATTTCTGCCGAAACTGGGAAGAACCTGAAACCGAGCTCAAAGTAGAGACAACTGACCACAGGGAAAAGCAGAAGCATTTGGAAGTCAAGTACAGCACAGTTGAGAGACTCGTGAGGTCTGTGAAGGGTCGAGAAAACCCGCACAGGGCGGGAACCAGCCATCATTTTTGCTGCCAGCAGCAACTGGAACACTCAGTCATTTCCTGTGTCCCAGTGACAACAGAATAAGGTTCTTGTGAAAACTCACCCTTGAAATAGCCGTCGCTACAACTACTGTCTGTGGCCATTGTACTTACCACAGTAGCTGTACCAGATACTTGAATCAGAGGAGTTGCAGATCCAGTGTAGCTTCTCAGGTTCAGTAAATACAGAAGAAAACAGAGAGAAAAACAGCATAAATGAGAACATGATTCGATCTCTCCAAAACTTTAAAAATGCAAGGACAATCAATAACTAATCATCACTCTTCCCTTTCAGTATGTAGAAGAAATTTAACTTAGTCATCAGTCACATGATTTCTGAGTTCCTATCCAACTGTTTCCTCTTTTGTGTGTGTGTGTGTGTGTGTGTGTGTATGTGTGTGTGTGTGTTTAATATGTGAGCACTTCCTGCAAGGGGAGAGAGGAAAATGATTTAGAACATACTCTTCAAACGCTTGATGCAACTGAGGGTGACCAGAGCTTTACAAACAAAACAAGATACTTCCCAGCCAATAGAAAGTATCCTTTAGAATTCCAAAAGACTGGCACACCCTTTCCACCTGCATTGCTATTCTCTCCCATGAGCTCGTTACACAACACTTTCTCATGGCCCGGAGACCTGGACCTATAGATCTGAACTGACCAGTCTTATGCAAACTGTTTCCACTCAGCAGCAGGGTCAACCACGGGGCAGAGCCGGGATATGGGACACTAGCTGTGGTTCTGCTTTGTGAGCAGGGGTCCCACCAGGCTTGAAAAAGGATTATCTTGAGCCCTAATAATGAAATGATCATTATTTCGTGTGTGGCATGTATTTCATTTCAAAATTCTCAGTCCGTTTTAGAAAAACAGCTAATCTTTTAGATGCTGTGTACTTGAAATCCTTTATAAGATATAATTTGGGATTAGCAGCCAAAAATGGTGTGGAGTCAGGACCTAAAAATCTACACGTTTAGAGGAAAATAATCATATGTTGGTAAAAAGTTTTCACTAAAGAACTGTGCTACTGTCCCATTTTTAAAAAGGCAAAAACCCATGGGGGGATGGGGAAATGGGGAGTTGCTGTTCAATGGGTATTGAGTTTCAGGTTTGCAAGATGAAAAAGTTCCAGAGATCTGTTGTACCTCAATGTAAATATAATTAACAGTACTGAACTGTACATTTAAAATTGGTTAAGATGGTAAATTTATGTTTTTGACAATTTAAAAATATACGTTACAAGTGAAAAAACAAAAAGGAGGAAAAACCCATGAACGCCTCTAGGGGTCTCAAAATACAATTTCCTAATCAAAGGAACCAAGACTCTTTGGAGAAATTGTTAATTCCAGGTCTTGGGCAGAAAATGTACAAGATGAACCCAGAACATCTTCTCATATTAGATAACCAATTTGAAGGTGGTTCCACTGATCAAAGACAGCGTTGTTAGTTTCCTATTGCTGCTGTAACAAATAAACACAAACTTGTGGCTTAAAACAATACAAATACATTCTCTCACAGTTCTGGAGGTCACAAGTCCAAAATCATTTTCACTGGGCTAAAGTCAAGATGTAAGCAGAGCTGGGTCCTTTTAGAGATCTAGGAGAAGAATCTGTTTCCTTGCCTTTTTCAGCTTCAAAAGCTGCAATCCTTGCCTGCCTCCCATCTTCAAAGTGCAGCACTACCACCTCTGCTTCCAACATCACATTAACGTCTCCTCTGGCCTCCTGCCTCTCTCTTATAAGGATCCCTGTGATTACACTGGAATCATTTGGATAATCCAGGATAATCTCCCTAACTCAAGATCCATCTAAAAAATCTCTTTTACTGTATAATGTAACATTCACAGCTTTTGGTGATTAGGACATAAACATCTTGTGGGGCCATTATTCAGCCCACCTGTAGATTATATGAACTTCAATAAGATAGTAACTGCAATGAATTGAAATACATCAAATATATTTAAATCCATGAGCTCATAATAATTTTTTTAAGTCTAATTAACCATCAGTTGATGCTAGGAAATCAATTCTATTTTGAAAATTGGTAAATAAAGGGAAAGAATCAAGCATTTATCCTGACATTTCTATAAAAACGGAACAATCGGTAACCAAATAATAGAGAGGGGCAAGTTTCCTTTACCATCTCTTACTCTTTTCTCTACTTTCAGACATATTTTAGCTATTATACGAAAAAGGAATAGTAGTGTATAACCATTTTGCAACATCTAATGAATTAGTGGACTTAGGCATTGAGCATCAGTGGTTGCTAACATCACAGAGAGAGAGACAGAAATGCATTGCGTACCTCTTGATGGATGAACACTGTGGTAGCCAGCCTCCAAGATAGTTCCCAATGATCCTTACTTCCTGGTACGCAACTTCCTGTGTAGTCCCCTCCAACACGGAATAAGGCTAACTGTGTAACTAATAAAATATTGCACAATGACAATGTGTGACTTCTAAGGTAGATCATAGAAGACATGTGGCTTCCACCTTGCTCTCCTGGATCAGTTGCTCTGGGGGAAGCAAGTAGCCCTGAGGAGAGATCCATGTGGTCAAAAACTGAGGCCTCATGCCAAAAAGCCAGCATCAATTTGTCAGCCATGTGAGTGAGCCATCTTAGAAGCAGTGCGTCCTGGCCTGGTCCAGCCTTCAGATGATAGCAGCACCAGCTAATATCTGGACTGCAACCTCATGAGAAAACCTGAGCCAGAACCGCTCAGCTAAGCCACTCCCGAATTCCTGACCAATACACTGTGCAATATTACAGGGGTTTGTTGTTTTAAGCCTCTAAGTTTGAGGGGTAATTTGTTATGCAATGATAGATAATCAATACAAACATCATCTATGACTTAGTCTTGTCCAGAGTAATCAAACCTCAATCTGATGAAGCCTCAAGTCCAACTACCAATTTGTAGAAAATACACAAGACAGAGAAACATGTTAAACTATGCCTTGGGGATACAATCAGACAATCCAGACCATGAAAAGATATCAAGACAACTCAGTTTCTTCAACAGATAATTTGCAGGGGAAGAAAAGAATCGTGAAAGAAATGGAGGGGCCCATAGATTAGAAGAGTCTTAAAAGACATTTCAACAGTTTGTGAATATGGTGTGAATTCTACTTGGATCTTAATCCAAACAAAATGTGGAGAAAAAAGTTATGAAACGATTGGAAATTTGAAGATTGTATATTTGATAACATTGAGGGGGGCAGTTTAGGTATTATAATGGTATTATAGCTACATTTTTTAAGTCCTTATTTTGTAGTGTTACAAAATTAATTACTTAACAAATGTTGTGACATCTGGGATTTGCTTCCAAATAAAAGGAGAAGGTAAGTGGTTAGGGTCTAGAGGAAACAATATTGATCACAAATTGGTAATTGTTGAATCTGGATGATAGTCATGTTGGTTCACTCTCCTACTTTTGAATGGTTGAAATTCTCAGTGAAAAGAAAAGCAACAACAAAAGTACAAAGTATTCTGAAAAAATAAGAATACAATTTTAACAAATGTGTCCAAGCTAAGGCTATTATCCATACCTAACCGCCATTTTGTTACTTTTGCTTCTAAAAGCTGAAGTCTTTCAGTATAATGAAATCTCCACTGAGAAAAAGGATTACAGTACAGTACAATTAATTGTCAAAGGGTATATTATCTGATGTCACCTAGATGTTACCCGGGCACCCTGCCTTTTGAGACTCAAAAAAACCTGACTCAACGCCTTTCTCATAGAAAGTGGGATGACTCTGCCTGGGGTGACGGTGGTGAAGTGTCATGGAGAGATGTGCGAATATTTCTCCTCATCTCAGACTGGTGTTTCCGCTATTTCAGTAATGAATCATCGTGTTATCCTATGCATGCTGATCCTTGTCTACATCTTGGTCTTGCTCTGGACCACGCCCTTGAGAAATCCTCTCTTTTAAGCCTTTTTTCTTTTTCCTAAACAACCAAGCTGTCTTCTGAAAAATTATTCTGATACTAATAAAAATGGGTTTTTCACACCAGTACATAGGTGAGAAAATGGCTACACGGATACAGGACATTCAAAAAGAAGATATCCTGGACTCAAAACAAGTTACGAGGAAATCGACCCTTTGGAAACTTCAAAATGTTAATGACGCCGTTTTTTTTTAGGAGTGATTTCTTCTTGTTTCTACTTTCTATTTGATAACGAGCATTTGATCATGGAATAATTTTCAGAGAAAGATATAAATCACATTAACTGCTAGGATAGCAACAGGTATGTATCTAGGTGACATAGGACAGAGGAGCAGGCGGGCAGAGGCCCAACCTAAGGAGAGAGATGGTACTACCTGTTCATCTTCCTGAGACCCAGAGCCTACCCACTGCTAGGATCACAAGCTGGCTGCCCCCAGGAGAGGGCAGGCTCTGGGTCTCAGGAAGATGAACACTTTCCTCACTCAAGCTGTCTCCTATCAACTTCTAGCAGCTTCAGACTTGAACCATCGTTCCCTATGAACTAGTGACACCCCTGCTGCTTCCCATCAACCTGCCTCATACACAGGCAAGCCATACAGATTACATTAGATTTACCATCTTGGCAGGCAACAGGACACGTCAGGCAGCTCCAAACAGAGTGGGTGTCGTTTTTGGGGGTTTTTTTTGCTGAGGAAGATTAGCCCTGAGCTAACAGCTGTGCCAATCTTTCCTCTATTTTGTATACAGGTCACCACCGCAGCATGGTATGATGAGTGACGTAGGTCCACACCTGGGATCTGAACCCATGAACCCCAGCCCACCACAGTGGAGCACACAAACTCAACCACTACGCCATGGGGCCGGCCTGGTGTTTTGTTCTTAACTGTGCCTCTGGCACACTCTAGGCACTTAGTATCCCCTGATCTAAATAGCACGATGTGTGGCCTTAGCTTCTGGCTGAAAATCCTTCACAAGAACCAACTGTCATTTTACAATTAGAGGTAAACACCTTAAAATATCAACACTCGATAAAGTTAAGAGACTGCTATTTTATAAAAGGTACTGTCCATCTTTTTAGTACAAATGATTTTCCTACTCTGATAGGGTGCACTAAGGGAGGAGAGCACACATGGAAGGACAAATGAGACCACTCAAGACAACACTATTTACGGGCTGGTCTGGTGGCATAGTGGTTAAGTTCAGTGTGCTCTGCTTTGGCAGCCCAAGTTAGCGGGCTCAGATCCCAGGCGCAGACCTACACCACTGGTCAGAAGACAACACTACTTAGGTCACTATTACCCCTACAGCTAACCACACTCTACCGGACAGGGAGATCCCTACTATGGGCAACTACGCCCGAGAAGACAGGCAAAAACCTGTGCTCCAAACCAAAAGAGACAGATTAACACTGCTTCCCA